TAATCTGTTACCTTTTTCATATAATTAGGTGATTTGACTAGACACAGAACCTGGACATTTCAGATGATTGGGTGTATAAAGCCTGGCAGATTGGGTACTTTGGTTATTTCTCCCAGTCCATGCCCCATGAAGAGATATAAAGGGAGACTATCAGGGTGGATCTTGAGAGATCCAAGGGTCTTAGCCTTCCTGACACTTGACTTCATTCACCTTTGTTTCCTTCCTCCTTGAAATAAGTTAATGTACTTCACTTTTGGGGGCCAGCACTCTTGTTTGTCCTGCTTTGCTGGCATCTCTTTAATGTCTCTTGCTGTCTCTCACTTTCCCCTTCTCTGTGTCAGCATACCCTTGGTAGTAGTGCTTGGCTGTCTTCTGCACGTTTGTTCTTGGATCAGCGTTTCTCAACAGATGTGATTGCAGCTGTGAATACCTTTTCTTTGTGTGTGCCTTGTTGATGGCAGGATCTTGAGCATTCCTGGCTCTTTTTCAGCTAAATGGCAGTAGCATTTCCCAATCATTGTGGATGCCAAAAAATGACGCCCTGTATTTCCAAATATTTCCCCAGAAATACTGCTCTAGAGAGGCCCAGCCAGTCCCCAGGGATTACGTGTGTTTTATGCAAAAAACTCCCAAATTTGTATCTTCAATGTCAGTCTTTCATTTGAGCTTCAGACTCAGTTTTCCAACCACCTGCCTGTCATCTTTGCTTGTCTGTGTATTAGACATCTCAACCGTAAAAGATGTTTAAATTAGGCCGGGCGCTGTGGCTCACGCCTGTAATCCTAGCTCTTGGGAGGCCGAGGCGGGCGGATTGCTCAAGGCCAGGAGTTCAAAACCAGCCTGAGCAAGAGCGAGACCCCGTCTCTACTATAAATAGAAAGAAATTAATTGGCCAACTGATATATATATAAAAAATTAGCCGGGCATGGTGGCGCATGCCTGTAGTCCCAGCTACCTGGGAGGCTGAGGCAGAAGGATTGCCTGAGCCCAGGAGTTTGAGGTTGCTGTGAGCTAGGCTGACACCACGGCACTCACTCTAGCCTGGGCAACAAAGTGAGACTCTGTCTCAAAAAAAAAAAAAAAAAAGATGTTTAAATTAGAACTGCTGATTTGCCCTTTAACTTGCCTCTCCTCCCTTTCCATCCTAGGGTAACACCATTTACTCAGTTGTGTGGGTCAAAAACCTGGGACCATTCTTCTTTCTCCTCCAAGACCATGTCCACTTCATCAGCAAGCCTGCATCCCACCTGCAGGGTAGATAGACCACATTGTAACTTGTACTTGTACAGTTGCTGCTCTAGTCCAAGCCACCTGCCTGGACTGTTGCAACACAACTTTTAGAACTGTTCATTAGCATGGAACATAACTGACATAAAGAAAAGTTCAGAGGGGGGAGGGGGGCATGGGCAAAATACGTAACCTAAACACTTGTACCCACATAAGACGCTAAAATAAAAAACAAGAAGAGTTCAGCTCAGTGAGTTATCACAGAGACATCGCCTCCCAGGTGCAGGGAAGTCATCAGCTTCAGAGAGAGCAGCACTGTGCCCCTGACCCCAAGGCAGCGCTGTCCGTGCTTATAGGAGCATTCCTGTCTTGCTTCTTTGTTTTTCCACAAAAGCATGCATTCTTAAATAGGGTAATTTATTGTTGCCTGTTTTTTTGTTTGTTTTGAGACAGGATCTCACTCTAGTACCTGGGCTAGAGTGCAGTGGCGTCATCACAGCTCACTGAGAACTCAAACTCCTGGGCTCAAACGATCCTCCTGGCTCAGCCTCCTGAGTAGCTGGGACTACAGGCATGCGCTGCCATGCCCGGCTAAGTTTTAAAAAATATTTTATAGAGATGGTCTTGGTATGTTGCTCAGGATGGTCTCAAACTCTGGGCTCAAGTGATCCTCCTGCCTTGGCCTCCCAAAGTGCTGGGATTACAAGCATGAATCACAGTGCCTGGCCTGTTTTGAGCTATCAATAAATGTAATTTTGTATTATGTATTCTTTTAGGTTTGGCTTCTTTTATACAACATTATGTGTTGTGTGTAGCTGTGAGTTGTTGATTTTCATTTGATTCCATTGTATTAATATGAATACCACAATGTATTGCTCTCTTCTGGTGGATGTTTGGGTTCTTTCCGTTTTCTAGCTCTTACTAATAATGCTGCTGTGAGGACCTTTTTATAGGCACGTCTTGGGTGCCCGTGTGTGCAGTGTTGCCGTTGGGGAGAGACTGCTTAGAGGAACTGCTGGGACGGAGCACATAATATTGGAGTCTTCCAGGGTGGTTAAACCAGTTTATACTCCACCAGCAAGAGTGTTTCTGCTGCTTCACATCCTTGCAGACACTTCCTCCTGTCTGTATTCTACACTTTGGTTATTAGGCTCTTCTTGTGGGTGTAGCAGTATCTCATTGTGGCTTCACTTCACATTTCCCCAGGGTTAATGAGGCTGAGCACCTTGTCTTGTGTTTATGGGCTACTTAGGGTTTTTGTTTTTTGGGTTTTTTTTTTCGTTTTTTGGTAAAGTGCCTGTTCAAGTCTCTTGCACATTTTTCTTTTGGGTTGTTTATATTTTTAAAAATTGATTTGTAAGACATTCTTTAGAAATTCTAGATATTAGCCTTTTGTTGGCTATATCTGTTGTAAATTTCTTCTTCTCCAGAGCTTATTTTTCATTCTCTTAAAGATATCTTTTGACATCAGAATTTAAAATTTTAATGTTCTTAATTGTATCAGGCTTTTTCTTTGTGGTTAGTGCTTTTTTATTATTAAATTTATTGGCAGTCCCATGTAAGAAGTCTTTATACTGAGAGCTTGAAGATACTCTCCAGTATTGTCCCCAAGAGGTTTATTTTATATTTCATAAAACAGCTAAAATTAATTGAGGGGGGTAGCTTTATTGAGATAAAATTTACACACAGTAAAATGTGCTGATTTCAAATACATAATCCTGGCCGGGCACGGTGGCTTATGCCTGTAATCTAGCACTCTAGGAGGCCAGGGCGGGTGGATCGCTCAAAGTCAGGAGTTCAAAATCAAATACATAATCCTTTGGGCATTGACCAGTATACGGTGTGTGTGGCCATGGTTACAGCTGTGACACAGGGCGTTTCCATTGCCTGGAAGAGCTCTCTTGGTCACTTCGCAGTCCCTTCCCATTGCTTCTGGCTTCTGGCAGTATCTGATTTGCTTCCCATTACTGTAGATTTGCTTTTTCTAAAATTTCGTATAAATGGAATCATACGATGCATAATATTTTGCGTCAGGTTCTTTCACTTAGTATAATGCTTTGAGAGCTGTGTATGTTGCACAGATCAATAGTCTGTGCCTTTTTGTTGCTGAGTAATCTTCCACTATAGCGATAGACACTTTTGTTCAGTTTCCAGTTTATGGACATTAGGGTTGTTTCCAGTTTGGGGCTATTATGAATTTAGCTACTGTGAACGTTCACATGTGAGTCTGTGGGGACCTAAGACCCAGTAGATGGCAGGGTCGTAGAGAGAGTGTGTGTTTAACTCTTCTGGAAATGGTCGAGCTGTTCACCAAAGGGCAGCCAAACCATTGGCATTCCTGCCATGATGCACAAGAGATCTAATTGCTGAACCTGCCAACTGTGGTGTGTTTGTTGTGGCCCGTTTACAGGACGGAGGATGAACACAGAAGATAAAACAAAAACGCAGAACACAAAAACGCAGACACACATACAGATGGTTGACTCGAGTAAAAATACACTGGGTCAGTTTTATTTTTATACTCTAAAAAATTAAAGTTAGTTCCTTGTATGTAACCACCCAGGCATTTCAGCAATGGCGGTAAATTCTGGAATGTGTAGCCTTAGGGAAGCAGATATCCCCTGGCTCAGAATTTCAAGGTGGTTGCTCTAGGCGCTAGGCATAGATCATGGACTGAGATTAGCAAGGATGGGCAAGGCAAGCCACAGGGGGCATTTCTCATCCCCAGCTTCTCTTAGGGTGACCCCCTAAGATCTTCGGCTGAACCCCGGTGGCTGGGCCTGGCTTAGGTTGCCCCTCCCTTGAGGGGTCTTACCTGTCACTGACTAACCAGCCATCTTATGGGGTGTACGCAGCAATCACAGGAACAATGTGTTTATCGTGTGGCCTCCAGACCCCCAATGCCGTGGGACGGGGCAGTTCTTGCTTATTTGCAACTCAAGTCCTTTGTTATGCCTCTAGGCAACAACCTTGTTTATCACAAGGACCTTTTCCAGAACACATTACTTTCAAACGCTCTGGGCAGAGCACGTACATTACTAACTTTAATTCTTAAACTAGGAAAATATATGTCAGTCCCCTACATGTGTTGGCAGTCTTTTTAATTTTACCCGTTCTATTGTGACTAAATAAAAGTATTTATAATGTTAACAATATTTACCAGTATCTTATTGTGGTTTTAGTTTGCATTTCCCTTATTTATGTTGAGTATCTTTTCATTGCTTATCTGCCATTTGTTTAGTCAGTTCAGGCTACTGAAACAAAAATACCATAGACTGGGGGGGTGAGGGAGTTACGCAACAGACGTTTGTTGCTCACAATTCTGGGAAGTGCTTGGACTTCTGCGAAGTCCGAGATCAAGGCTCTGGCACATCTAGTGTCTGATGAGGGCCGTTTTCCTGGTTTGCAATTGGCTGTTTTCTCATCGTGTCCTCATGTGGCTGCGAGAGACACTGTCTCTCTTCTGTTTCTTCTTGTAAAGGCATGAAGTCCCCTCACGAGGGCTCTCCCCTCACGACCTGCTCGCCTCTCAGAGGCCCCCATCCCAGCACCACGTGTGTTGGGATTTCAACATACGGAGTTTGAGGGGACACAGACATGCAGACCATGGCACCATGCCGTCTTCTTCGGTGAAGGGTCTGTTCAAATCTCTTGCCCCTCCCTCCTTTTTCTCTTGTATATATTTTGATTTTTGTATGTGGTAAAAGCTTTATTTTTTGGTTTTACAGATGAGCATCTTTAATTGAAAAGACTGCTTTTGCCTCTGCTGCATGTGCTTCTGTAGTTGCCGAGGGCGTGTTGGCCTGGGCGTGCTGCTGGCGCTGTCTCTATCCTGCTGCTCTGGGTGGCGTTGGCCATACCACACACCTTCATTACTGTGGCTTTGTGAGAGGTCCTGACGGCTCATGGACGGCTAGTGTCCTGGTTATTCCTGGTCTTTGCATTTTTATGCATCTTTTAGGGTCACGTTGTCTACCACTTGGCTGAGTTTATGGTAAATTAAAAAAATTATTTTGCCAAATTAAAACAAGAAAACCTTCTGAGATCTTAACTGAGGTTGCATTGAATCTGTAGGTTTGGTTTGAGGAGGATTGATATTTTTATAATACTCAGTTTTTAATTGATGAACATGATATAATCCCTATTTACTAAGGTCTTTTAAAACTTTTTGTTAATGTTTGTGTTCTGTTGGAGACCTAGTAAGTCTGTCAAAGACTTTCTTCCCAGTGTTTTCCATTATCAGTGGTGTCTTTTTTAGACTTTCATTTTCTGACTTGCTAACACTCAGCCTCTGGGTCCAGGGGTTCTGATCTGTGGATTTAACCAACCATGGATCGAAACTACTAAAAAAAGTTGCATCTGTACTGAACATGTACAGACTTTTTTCTTATCATTATTGCCTAGACAATACAATATAACAACTATGTAGCATTTACATTATGTTAGGTATTGTACTGCCTGGATGGGACTTGCATGGATTTTGGTATCCATGGGAGATCATGGAACCAGTTCCCCATAAATACCAAGGGATGACTGGACAATTCAGTTAGATGTACTGACCTCATATTCAGCAACTTTGCCAAACTCACTTTTCTAGGTCATCTTTGCGTTCTTTGGACTTTCTATGTAGATAAGCATAGCATTGTGAATAATGAGATTTATTTCTTTTCAGTCGTTATGCCTTGTATTTATTAGGCAGGGATTTATTAATTTTCTGTCTCTTTAAAGAGCCACCTTTTGGTTTTGTTGATCTTTTCAACGTTTATGTACTATTTTACTGATTTCCCCAGCACTCTGCCCAAACAGGGAGTACATTTCCGGCCTTTTCCTGACCCTATGCGGCCACCCTTCCTGCTGTGACTCTGTGTGCTCCTATTCCTGCCTTTCCAAAATGCCATGGGGCGGCTTCGTTCCACAGCCTCTGACATCCACAGGTGCAAAACTGAGAGGCCAAGAGTTGCAAGGCACCTTGTGGCAGCTTCTCAGGGGCAGAGCTGGGCCTTGAGTCTTAAACAACTACCTCGTTTCCCCGAAAATAAGACAAGGTCTTATATTTATTTTTCCTCAAGAAAAATACCCTAGGGCATATTTTCAGGAGATGTGTTATTTTCCCCTCAAAGCCTCAGCTTGCAGCACGCACAGGATGGCCGGGACCTGACAGGGGGAGCCGACCTTGTTGGTGGGGTGCCCGCACCTTTCTGGTCACCTCTGGGATAGTAGCTGTCACAATGGGGCAGATGAGAAGGGCTGCTCGTCTTTACCTTTCCGCTCCACGACGAAATGCATGGGTTGTGCAGATGCGCTAAGTAGCCACGCCCATCACTGATCTTATTTTCTGGATAGGGCTTCTATTGTGCAAATGCTGAGAAATCCTGTTAGGGCTTATTTTCGGGGAAACACGGTACTATTTTAAATTGCCTTTTCTTGTTATTTTCAGTGCTGAAGTCTGATATTCTGTGGAATATCAAGTCTGTAGGGGCTGACAGATTTTGTAGAGGAATAGTGAAGAGCAATAGCTAACTTATTACATGTTTGTTATATTTGATAATGTTGAACTTTTGCAACCTCAGCTCTTATTGATACTTCTAGTCTGTTAGTTTAGAAAGGTTTGTGTCACCTCTTAAAGTGACAGTGCCATTCAGTTGGAAAATAACGTACTGTGTTATATTAGTGAACTTTAATCAGAGTAACCAGCAGGAGTATTTTGGAAAGACAGTATTTTGTTAGTGTAAAAACTGTTCACATAGTTCTTTCACACTTTTTCATCTGTTAATATGTGAACTCTATAATTTATAGTCTCACATACTTTGTAAATGTGTTTTGTTAAAATGACAGTATAACATTGATTGTTTAGTAAAGGTTTTGCTTTTTATTTTACAGAATTAACACTGAATCCTCCGGAAGGAATTGTGGCAGGTGAGGTACAAATATTAACATCCTTATCCTTTACTTCTAATTTCTAAGGTTGCCTTCAGAATTAAAGTGTGGAATTTTTCTTTTCCCTGCAGGCCCCATGAATGAAGAGAACTTTTTTGAATGGGAGGCATTGATCATGTAAGTTAATCATATGTGTATTGTTCTTAGGGCTTTATTGGAAATTAGACCTAAGAATCACTTTAGCAGTATGGCTGTGCTGACAAGCATCACCTGGAAAAAAGTGGTTCTCTTACCTTCCAAATCTTCTCTGGTCTGTTACTCTGAAAGCAGAAAACAACCTGAGTGTTAATCCAAAAGAAATGAGATTTTCCTTAGAACCAATAAAAGGTTTAGCTATAAATATTACAATATTTGTAGAGTTTTAAGATCGTAATTTTGGAATACTGTGTGGCCTTGGTGAGTTATCCTCAAAAACTGTGGGTAGCTTTGGCTTCCAGCAGTCCCTGGAAGTCCCAAGGCTTTGCCAGTGAGGAAAGGGTCCTCGGAGGTGCCTGTCGGTCAGGATAGGCCCGGCCCTGCCCTGCCCTGCCCTGCCCGTGGGCCGGGACTTCTCTTCCTTCTCCTTTGCTCCTGTCAACCTCCCCCTGCCGCTTCTCCTTTTTCTGTTCACCTCGGCTGGGCTTGTGGGCCTTGTGTTGTTTCTGACCCAAGACACGGCTCAGCTGTAAGGTGAATGGTGCGGTTCTGGATGTCGTGGCATTTAATTTGCAGTGTGTTGCTTGGAAGGAGAAACATGGACGCCAGTTCTAGAGTGTTCTGTGGCCCTGACTCAGGCCTTTTGCTTTTCTTCTTTCCATCTTAGACATGCAATTTTTGGCCACTCTTAGACTTAGTATATTTGCAACAACAATATTAGATTAGGTAAAATTCTGGAAGTTGAGATTTATAATCAGTCTCTCAGTTTTCTCATTGGTGGATTAGTTCTTTCAGTTCACTAGGAAGTTCTCAGGTTGCGTTTCGTAGGATTGAGAAGTGTTCCTGTGGGCTCTGGCCTGAGTTGAGGCCGCATCTTAAACTTCGTCACACTTTGGAGTTTCCCCGTTTAGCATCACACAGGTTCTTAGCGCTCCGTGTGTTATTGTGAGGAGCAAACTGCTGCTAAGTGCTGGCTGTGGAGGTTGGATAATGCTTGAAAATTGATGTGAAAATGAGTCTTTGATAAGTAAAATGTTTTCTTAAAATCATCAATAAACACTATCCAAAGAAAGTACAGCAGGCCTGATGTTTCCTGATAGTTTGGAGTATCCAGATTCTGGGCCCGTGGCACGTGTTTCTCGTGTCTAAAGGTTTCTGGAGTCGGTGTTGTACCGAACATGGTTTTGTGTCTTTCACTCTAAGGAATTTACATGATGGGTGTGAAGTCTCACAATGAGCGCTGTCCTCGTTATTGGAGTGTTGTATCTCGTACTTGTCACTTGTTGTCCGGGGCAGCCTTTTCATATTTGTAGAGGCAGGAGATCATGCGTATGAACGCTGTGTAGCTTGCTTGTTTCGTCTGCTGTGTCGTGTGTAAATAGACACACCTGCACTCACACAGTCACCTGGGTAGCAATCCTGTTGCAGGTCACGGATGGGTGGGGGACCTGAGTGCAGAGGTCGAGGGCTCCTGGCGGGTCTGGTTTGGAGGATGTCGGCCCATGTAGCTTTAGTTAGAAGCTCGTTAAAGGGACAGTGGAGCCTTCCAATGTGGATTTAAAAAAAAATGTTCATTGTTAAAAATCTGTTAGGGTAGCTATTACTAATTTTAGATAAACAGTGTAAAATTAAACCAATATTTTGAAAACCTATCTTAAAAAGTAATCAGAACTATTTTTAGGTAGAGCACTTTGTGTTTGAATAAGGCTTTTGCATTTGTGTGGAATTCCCCTGCTTGAAGATCCTGGTGAGTTTGTGGGTTTTGGGGCCGTTTACAAATGTGCTTAAAACATCTCTGAGGGAATTAACTGTCCTTTCCACTGCTATTTTGGCAGACAGCTGACTGAGCTTTTGTATTCAGTGATAGGTTTGCTCCTCTCTCTTTATTCTTCGATGGTTTCCAGGACCACTTCTGTACCCCGATGTTTCTGAAAACCAGGCTTGCCTCGTGGACAGCTAACGCTGTCAGCTCTTGCTGCTGTGCTGTCTTCAGGGCCGGTGAGGAAAATGTCTATTCAGATATTCAGCAACACGTACATCAGGGCCTTGTCTGAGGGTGCAGGCGTGTCGTGGGCAAACCCGAGTCTTCACCCTGAAAGAACAGGGTCCAGGGACTGGGACAGAGCATGGAACAAAGGAGTAAATAGGAAGACTAAATCATAAGTTTGCCACAGGCCATGTGTCTCATTAAAAGTGGAAAATAACTAACGCCTCTGTTGAGCTCAAGGTGAAGTGTGGGCACGTGGTCCAGCAGAGACAGGGTGTTGGGGGGTGGGCTCCCATGGCTGTGTGTTGCTGGCATGGCCTTCTGGTCTTGGCCTGGTCACCTCATCTCTCTGACCATCACTCGTTTGGACCAGACAGAGGCTCAGTGTCCTTTAGACAGACAGTTTCAGGTCTCACCCAGCCCTAGGGTCCATGGCCTGTGTGACCCTGTTGTCACTAAGCTGCCGTGTTGAGGGTGCAGCTGCAGAGGGCAGACACCGACAACTTCAACTGGAGCACTCCTGCAGGAGAGCAGGAGGGGCCTGTGGTGGGGGACAGCTGCTCCCCCTCCACGGCTGGACAGTGGCCTGTTGTCACCTGTCTAAACCATTGACTCGTGAGGCTGTGGTAAAGTAAGTAGGGCCTTCTCCTTACCAGGTAGATGGTTGGGGACCTTTGATTGACTCTACCCGCCAGTGCATTTGGGTCCAGGTTCTCCAGCTGGTGTAGATCAGCCCAAGGCTTCAGGCAGTCCCAGGGGAGGCCTGCCATGGGCCCTTCCCACTCTAGGCACAGTTGTCACCATCGAGGTAGCCATCCTTTACGTCAAGGTTTCTCATTGACTGAGGCTTGGCACAGAGTGTCTCTTGTCGGTATTGTGCTCTGTTAAAGTAAGCCTGGGATGTTAAAATAGATGTTTGTAATTTGTGTTGTATGTCCTCTGAGCCAGCATCCCCAGTTTAGTGGCCTCCGCAGTAGGAGTGTTGTGAGGATCTCCGTGTAGGAGGTTCAGTGCCGCAGTCATCGTAGTGTTAAAGCCAGTGGAAACATCACTGTCCCATGTAAGTTATGGCACAGCCATACAGCGAAATGCTGTGTAGCACTAAAACAACTCAGGTAAAATCTACATCCTGGCGTGGAAGGATATGCACAATGTATCAAGTGAAAAAGCAGATTCTAGAATAATAGGCCCAGACCAGTGGTTTCAACTAGGGGTGATTGTGCCCCCAAGGCACATCTGGCAATGTGCAGAGACATTTTTGGTTGCCATTATGGGGGTTTGTGGGAGCTCTGCTACAGGCAGCTGTGGGCAGACTAAGCGTCCGCCGTGTGCAGCACAGGCCTCCGTGCAGGTCTGCAGTGCTGACGTGGAGAACCTGGTGTGGCATGAGGCGTTTTGCCCCACATACGTTTCTTAAACAGCTTTATTGAGATATAATTTGCACATTATGTTTTACCCGTATTAAGAATGCAAGCCAGTGGATTTAGTAAATTTCTAGAGCCTTGTAGTCATCACCACAATCCAGTTTTAGAACATTCCAGAACTGCCTGTTTGCAGTTAGTTCCCACCCCCATCCTCAGCCACAAGCAGCCACCACTCTGTCCTCTGACTAAAAGTTTGCCTTTTCTGGACTTTCCCGTAAATGGAATCATGCAATATCCAATCATTCACATCTGGCGTCTCTTTATTTGCATGTGTTTGCAGTTCATCTGTGTTGCAGTGTGTGTCAGTAGCTCCTAACTTGTCTATTCCCTGGTCGATGGACACCTCGGGTTTCCACTTTTGGGCTCTTTCTTTTTAAAATTTTTTTAAATTTATTTCAGCATATTACAGGGGTACAAATGGTTAGGTTACGTATATTGTCCTTGCCCCATCCGAGTCAGAACTTCAAGCATGTCCATCCCCCAGACAGTACACACCGCACTCATTAGGTATGAATATACCCATCCCCTCCTCCTCCCCCATCGGTCCGACACCCGATGAATGTTACTACTATATATGCACGTAAGTGTTGATCAGTTAATACCAATTTGATGGTGATTACATGTGGTGCTTGTTTGTCCATTCTTGGGATTCTTGGTAGAATGGGTTCCAGTTCTATGCAGGATAATACAAAAGGTGCTAGATCACCATTGTTTTTTGTGGCTGAGTATAACTCCATGATATACATATCCTACAATTTATTAGTGCACTCATGTATTTTTTTTTTTTTACTTTTTTTTTTTTTTTTTGAGATAGAGTCTCGCTCTGTTGCCCAGGCTAGAGTGAGTGCCATGGCGTCAGCCTAGCTCACAGCAACCTCAAACTCCTGGGCTTAAGCAATCCTCCTGCCTCAGCCTCCGAGTAGCTGGGACTACAGCATGCGCCACCATGCCCGGCTAATTTTTTCTATATATATTAGTTGGCCAATTAATTTCTTTCTATTTATAGTAGAGACGGGGTCTCGCTCTTGCTCAGGCTGGTTTCGAACTCCTGACCTCGAGCAATCCGCCCGCCTCGGCCTCCCAGAGTGCTAGGATTATAGGCGTGCACTCATGTATTGATGGGCACTTGGGTTGTTTCCACATTTTTGCAATTATGAATTGTGCTGCTGTGAACTTTAGAGTGCAGGCAGGTGTCTCTTTTTTTTTTTGAGACAGAATCTCGCTTTGTTGCCCAGGCTAGAGTAAGTGCTGTGGTGTCAGCCTAGTTCACAGCAACCTCAAACTCCTGGGCTCAAGCAATCCTGCTGCCTCAGCCTCCCGAGTAGCTGGGACTACAGGCATGCCACCATACCTGGCTAATTTTTTCTATATATATTAGTTGGCCAATTTCTTTTTATTTATAGTAGAGACGGGGTCTTGCTCAGGCTGGTTTCAAACTCCTGACCTTGAGCAATGCGTCCGCCTCGGCCTCCCAGAGTGCTAGGATTATAGGCGTGAGCCACCGCGCCCGGCCCAGGTGTCTTTTTTATAGAATGTTTTTTGTTCTTTTGGGTAGATGCCTAGTAATGGGA